GGTGTGAAGGCCAATCCATTAAGATCAACTCTCCTTTCAGCAGAACAAGGAGAATGGTTTCAAAACCCAGGTAAGGCTGCTTTGTGTCTTCTAAGCAGTGCCCAAGAGGGGCTCCTCAAGGGTGAATGGCTATCTGAACCAAGTCAGACACAAGAGCTACTGTTAGGAGCTCAGTCTTAAGACTCACTGATTTCCTCGTCAAACATTCTCTACTCTTTTTAACACAAACATGGTCTTGATTCTAAGGTTAAAGTTTCTCACGCATCTAATGAAGACATAAGGGAGAAACCCCCTAGGACAAGAGTCTCAGCTGTCACTCGAGTCAGTGCAGTACAGTGCTGACTGAAACCACAGTCCAATCTCAGTTCTGAGAAGCAGAAAAAAGGATTTATTTTGCAGGCAGATAAAAAAAGTAGAATGTCAAGCTTAGATCATAAAACTGGTTGCTTCTTTCTTTGTGCATTTTAGGTTTTGTGCATAATTGGAACCTTTGGCACCTACAAGCAAGAAGGGCAGCGCAGTAGAGAAAGGAGTCTGTCTTTACTCCTTCAAAATTGAACTTGCCAGAGCAGAGATAAAATAGGAGAGAAAGGCCGTCTGTGTAGCAACATTACAGCGAGACTGAGAAACATTCAAGTAAAAATTAAGGAAAGGATAAGAAACAGAATGCAATTTAAATGCCAGAGAATTAATCCAGGACTAAGAGGATCCAGAGGAATGGCCAGACCCCCACTGCTTTCTGGTCCTGCCCAGGGTGAATTGTTTCCCTCTCTGTATCACTACACTTCAACCAGCAAAGTAGCAAAACCTGTGATAAGCTCTCCATCAGTGTGCTTTGTTTTCTTGCATGAAGTGACTTCAGTAAGACCTAGGCATTAGATCTCAAATTTAACTGAGTTAATTGACTCAAACTGACTTAGAGTGAACTGGGAATACCTGAGTATCTACGGCCTTTGTTACCTCGGCAGAGAGAGGAGGTAACTGTGTCTTCTTACCATAACTTCTTCTCTTCTGCTTCAGGGCTCTTGGAATTTGTATAACTTTAAGTCCTACCTACAAGAAACTACACTCAAAATTGCAGTGCTGGATGATCAAACTAAATTTGCAGACATCAGACCCTATTCTGTACACACAAAAATAAGTATAAAACATATCTACAAATTCTACTGTAAATCAGTGTTAACCAGCTTCATGATTATGAAAGAAAAAAAAAATTATTTAAATTCACTTCTTCAGTTTATTATTAAAGATATCAAAATGAAATCTCTTACAATTACTACTAAATGTTGTAAGATAAATCAAGACAAGGTGAAAAGCCTGGCTTGAATGTAGCCAATGGAGAAAAAGACTGGTACTGTTGAAACATTAATTTTCATTCCTGATGAAGCAAGTAAGAGTCTTAAGCCAGTGGATCATATTTGTCTGTTACTCTTTCAGGGTTATCTACCTACTTAAGCTTTGCAGACAGACATCTGTGAATTTTCAGATGATATGAAATAAATCGAATATTTAAAAGATGCCCAAACCTGGTTTACTGCCTCTTCCTCCTATTAAATATAATTCCTATTTACTTTTCAAGAGGGATTTCAGCTCATGGGTTCATGTGCTCAATGCTACTAAAGAATTAAAAGCAGCTGTTGTTTTCTACAACAAGCACTGTACGTACTTTGGAAACTATAAAGGACTTATTTTTAGATGAGTGATATGCTAATACCCCAGCAGTGTCAGAGTGGTGCTTCACTGCAGTAATGCAAGGAACCCAGCTACCCACAGTGGCAGCAATTGTGAGGTATCTCGTCCCTACAGACTTCACTGCACCCCATCAAGACCTTTTAGCCAGCAGCACCATCACAAGTTGCTTCTGTTGTTGTTGCAATTGTCCAGCCTATTGGGTTTGAGTATCTGTAAGCACAAAATTAAGAGTGCTTGACCATAAGCTGACATAGTGTTGAGCACTACCTAATCAGACAAAAAGTCAGGTAACAACCAGCATCCTTATTATATCCTCAGATAAGAAAATCCAGTAGGATGCTTGATTAAAGGACTCTGGATAGACACGGCTGTTAAACTGTTCCTATGAAATTCATGGAAAGCCTGATTCTTTTTCCAGTGCTCAAAAGCACTACAAAATCTGCCAAAATTAATGTTCACATTAACAGCTGCTGACTCCAATGGCCAGGGTTGGCAACACAACTGTGTATGGATAAGAATGGCAGCTATGGTCAATCTGTACAATTCACAGGCGGCCACATGCTCAAAAGCAGTAATTTAATTGTAGCTTCTGCAGAGTAATAAAATGTGTTACATGACAAATAATTTGCAGGTTACATGGTAGATGTTTTACTATTGAAATAAAGATCTTTCAAGACACCAGAAAAAAAGGTATTTCTGGCTTCATAGATATTGTTAGTGAGTATTCACACTGCTGACAAGATAGGCAGTGTATAATAATAAACTCAAGTTTTCAGATAGTTATCTCCTAAGTCTGACAACACAGGTCTGAAATCCATAGAAAAGACCCGCTACCTGGCATCACTTCATCTGGTAGCTGTAACCAACCCACTTCCCTCCATTTACTTTGCCAAACCAAATGTGAGGCTAAACAAGGTCATATTTGAAGTCATCACCAGCATGGTGTTGGAAAGAGATTCCAGAAAAAATTGTTTATTGCTATCTACCATATTCTTCTGCCACGTTCAACAGGTCATCAAGTGAAACGTCAGACTATTTTGATAAATGCTCAGCATGAGATCCTCCCGACTAACATGGAAGCAAACTTGGTTTCACAACTAAGATAACAAACTCTGCTCAGTCTCAATCCTTTTCTCATTGAAGGAGAAACTGAGGTCACCAGCACTCTGCACATTTAGATGCACAGTATGGCTTACTTCTGTTTTCCAAGCTATCATGAAGTGTTAAATGCCAATCTGAGCCTTCTGCTCTGCCAATAATCGATAAAGATGCTGCCCCAATAGCTGTAAAATAATCCTCTGATCATCCACATTCTCCATTTGGTTGTCTAGACAGATGAAAGCAGGGGCTTATTATTAAAACATTTTCAGCTTTCAATTTGTTATGCCATTATGTTATTGGCCAGGACTTAGGGAACAAACTCTGAAAATGATACAATGTGCTCATTTTTTTTAAACCCTTGATAATAATTTAGTAAAATTTCAAAGCACCTAGCAGTTGAATGTTTTCAGCGTGGGAGTACAGGACAGAGGCTAGCATCCAACTAAGGGAAAGACAAGACAGTCACATCTTCGAAGATGGACTCTAATGTATTCTGACCTGCACTAGGTAAGTTTGTAAAGCTAGGAGGAGGAAAGGATCACAAAACCATAATGACCTTTTCAATACCCCACAAGTAGGAAAAAGCCTGTGCAACACTAAAAGAGGCAACAGTTGTGGACTCTGAACTCAGAGAGCCTTCCTCTCGCAAACATGCATGCTGTAGCGATTATTTCCAGGTTGGACACAGGGTCATGGCAAATGTTTTCCTCTAAACATCCAGCCAGATGTTTTCACAACACCTAGTTGGCTTAATCTGGACCACATGTGCGCGAAACACTTAGTGAAAAAGCAGTGACTGCAACACCGAAGAGCTACTGAGAAACACAACTGCCTCTTCAGCCAAGCTGCAAACTCAAAAATTTCCACCATCAAAAGCATTTCTACCAACAGAACTGACAAGGTTATTACAACAACGTATAAGAGACAATTTATTCAGACGGCTCTTCAGTAAAATCTGGTGGAAGGAACTGAAGAGCCACCCACGCCAAACAGAAAGGAGAGCTGTGATGTCTAGCTACATCTACTGCTTCCCCATGACAACTCTCCCGGTTGCTGTGGTAGAGGAAGAGTACTGCCAGCTCTGGGGAAGCTGACTCAAAGGAGCATCTCTTCTCCCTCAGACATGAAGCCTCAGGGCCACCTTCAGAAACTGGCAAAGCAAAGGTTCTCCCCCTGTACTGTGCAATGTGACAATGAAAGGCACTTTTAGGTGCTCCATCACTTCTCCCCAGGATGTGCCCTGAGGTTAAACAGGCAGGGTGCACCTGAGAAACTGATCCTAAACACTTAAGAGCATCTAGCACGAGTGATCCCTGCATGGCTGCTCCTCTAGCACCAGCTTAAACACCTTAACAATAACATTTTTTAAACACCACCTGAAATGAACTTCAAGTAAATGCCTTCCTATTTCTGTTCTAAGGTAACTTTTCCAGCTGCTTTGAGCTATCACTCAACTTTAGGAATCTGAGTGTAAAAAATGAAAACAGTGATGATCAGAATTCTTCAAATACCATTAGCACTGTTTGCACACAAAATTTCACAGGGATACATTTGGGAAGCCGGAAAAGTCTAACAAAGTTTATGGCTCTAATGGGAAACTGCTGGCAAGGGTAGCAAGTCTGACAAAGAGAACTGGGCTAAAAAATAATGCATTAATGAAATAAATGAGCATTATTTTAATTAAAAAATTCCTTGAGGAAGGCGTTAGAAACATTTTGTCCTTTTGCAAATGCACTTTTGGAGTGCATTGCCCAGATCCAATCCAATAAAGAAACAAGCATTTGGATAGAAGCAGCATATAAACTTGGGTAATACAGTGCTGGTATCTGAGTTTTGATCTACCAGTATCACAGTATCACAGTATGTTAGAGATTGGAAGGGACCTCAAAAGATCATCTAGTCCAATCCCCCTGCCGGAGCAGGAACACCTAGATAAGGTTACACAGGTATGCTTTTGATTACTTTGCAAAATCAAGCCATTTCAGCTGTTTTCAGTTTCTTCAAGGAATACTACCCATCAAAGGAATACAGTTATTTCACATAATTCAAAATTATCTGAAAATAAAATGCTTCTTTAGAGCTATTTCTAGTGCTTTTTATCACAAATAATATCTCCTCTGAAATGCACAGTGAGAAGATGCATGTGAACCATAAAATTTCTTATATTTTATATAGTATGAATGTTTTATACTAAAATGTACTATCCAAACAAACTGTTTTGTACCCAAATTCATCAACAGTCACTACAGACCAGTGGATAATCTTTGTAATTCTCAGACAGACTTACTTCAAGATATTTAACTGCTAACAATTAAATCTAACAAGCAGAAAATCCAGTGAAGAACATCCACAGGAAAGCTTTTGCTTCCAGCCACACAAACCCAATTAGTTCAAAGCTGGAAGAAATGTTCTTGCAGGTTATTCATTCTCCATTTATGAAGAAGTGAACCAACCCAAATGCTTTGATCAAGACAAGTTAATGCAATAAATGATGCACTTCCCACAACAGTCACGATACCTCTGCTCTTGGGCTCTGCAGCCTAAATCTCAAAGGATTAAGCCACTCCTGTCCTTGAGTTTTACATAAAGCCAAAGATTAAAAAAAAAAAAAAGTCTAAGCAGTTTGGAGGTGAGGAAAAAGATGCTTCATTCCTTTCCAGCACAGCTGTTGGCTGGTGTCTCATGTGAAGGCTAGTAGATCATATTACTCAGTTGGTTCAATAAGCAAAGGTGTTGATCTGCACTGAAGATGCCACTGCCAGCTGCTCTTTCTGTTTCTGTGAAGTTTGGGATGGTTCTGGAGAAATGGCAAGGTGAAAGACCTGAGCTTTTCTGAACAGAAAGAATCACTGCAGAACCTGAGTCCCCAAATGTATACTCAAATGCCTTTGATATAAAAATGGCAACAAAAAAAAGAGCAGATATGACAGAGGAACAAAGAAGTTACTGCAAGATCAGTTAAACAAATTACTTTAAACCAGAAGACCTGAGGAAGAAATACAGTTAATGAATACTTTTTCCAAAACTTTTGAGTTTTAATTTCATTTTGTCTTACTGCTTATGTGTTTAGAGGATCCAACACACCTGTAACATGCTAGCACTGGTATCATGCTTTTTATTCAGATGCCTCAAATAACAATTGAGACTAGTCTTCTGATATATGGAATTACATTAATAGCAGAAAACTAGTTTCAAAGTGATCACTGACAACAGACCAAGAAGAACCCAAATCTGAAGATACTATTTACTTTCAAATGCATTTCTTCAGCTACACAGAAAAATGGATTTTCAAGGCACACTTAAATCTTAATGTGATTGCGCCCTTACTATGTATGAGCACAGAAATAAAAAGCCAGGAGGATAAAAGTACAGCTGGCCATGACATTATTTTGGAACAGTCTTTTAGAATGATTGAATTTGAAATGATACACAAGCAGTGAGCTTTGGGACTTTCTAACTGTCTGAAGGCATTATCAGTTAAGACTCTAAACTTTGCAGAGATCAAAGGTCCCAAATCTGCCAGCTTCTGAATTTAGCACCCCACAGGGCAGCTTGGAAAGAAATCACTCTTTCCCAGTCTGTGGGGCAGATTGATTTACAGCATTTGATAAAACCTGAGGTGAGACACAAGAGCAGTAACCCCTTTCCACTTTGAGAATGTGCTTCACAAGTCAGACTTTGTAGTTCCTGTTTCTTAAAAAACCCCAAACAATCAGAAGCGAAAACCCCAGTGAGGGTGAAATCACTCGGTAAAAAAGAAGCTTTACACTTCCAAGTTGCTGCTGATTCTTGGTGGCTCCAGAACTAAAGAAGCTATACTGGGCAAGGACAGCTGTTGATGCAGAGAAACAGTCTCGTGGGGGGAGAATTCAACCTTCTGTATTTCCAAACAAGATGTCTAAAGATCTCCTACAGACATGCCTGTATTTGTTTCTTACTTACGATGGTTACTTACAGGCTATTACTGACAACTTTCCTCCAATGATTTACCTGTTTTCAGAAGATACCTTAATGTCCCCTTCAGAATCTGGCCCAGGCACTGGCATTTTATCAGTTGCTGATGGCTTGACCAGTTGCCCAAGAAAGGGTTTGAGAAATTAAGATTATTCTATAAAAATCCTGAATAGTTAGTTATTTCAGGATTGAAAAAACCTACCTACAGTTATGAAAGATTATAAAAGCTCTTCTGTGAAATACGTAGTCGGCAACTGTTCTCAATTATCAATGGATTTCTAAAAGAATTAAAATTAGTGCTTTCACTTGTAAAGGCAACAGTCCTAAAGTAATTCAAGCAAAATGTTCATCCCAGAAGATTCATTAGAACAACCTCCAGAGACTACAAGCAATTGAGAAGGGAGACGTTTCTTTAAGCCTAGTTTCCTAAAGAAACTTAAAATCCCAAGATGAAGACGTGGCTTCAGACTCCATAACACCATGAACATTATAAATCCACCTCCACAGAAACAAACCTGAAATAAAAACTTTATCACCAAGAGAAGCTTTTAATAAATTAAAATAACAAAAGCCAAGCAGTGATGTATTTTCTTGTGTAAAAAAAGGACAAAAAAGGAAAAAAAGATTCATTAGCTGTCACAACAGCATGAAAGTGACACAAAGAAAAGTTTGTCAAACAACCTCTCTTTCCCGATAGCTTCTGGCTTTGTGTATCACCGGTGTTGGCACTCCGTGATTTATCTGAGGGTGTAGTTCATGAAAATATAGCATTATCCCAAGTGAAATGAGGCTGGCAATATTGTTCTCAGTGTCTTTTGGGGGAATTTTGCTCATGTGCTAGCATTACTCTGGTAAGGAATCAGAATGACATGATTTGAGCAGGACTAGAAACCACAAGTATAAGGATGATCTATTAAAAACTAGAGACCATAAGAATGACAGCCATAAGCACATAATGAATTGTCCAGAATAATGTTTAACTGCAGTATGTTATATATAAATTTCCAACTCTCCTGAATTTTCCCTCTTGAAAAACAATGAGACAAATTAGGTGCACTGCCTGGCTCACAATGAACTCTTTAAAACAACAGTTACCTGAAAGCTTTCTTCTGTCTTTAAGGTTAACTTCAACAGATGTATCCAAAGGGTTTAATTAAAACAAAACATCTTGAATATACCAAGTGTAATTTTTATGTCCTTGGGGTATGCATGTATATCATGTGACATGACACAGCTTCAGAGATCCATAGAGGGGAGAAGTCAGTACTGTTGTTCACCTCTACCTCTATGCTCGGTTTCAGCTGAGAGGTACATCTCACAGATGTTCATCAGACAACCAACCCACAGTATGTTTTGTTTTTCCATAATACACACAGAACAAAGAAGATCAGTGAAAAGAAAATAAAGTTCTCATCTGTTGAAAGAGGCCAGACTTCTCCTGGCTTAATAAACACATGCAAAAAAAAAAAAAAAATACATTTGAAAGAAACACAGAAGGATGAGATCCTTTTACAGACCTTAAAAGGTAAAGGCTACTCACGTAACGGCACCAAGCCAATTCACTACCATTTGCTGTACAGAACACGCACAACTTTGAGGAAAATCTCAGAAACAATGTGGAAAAGATCATCTATTTTGGGGATATGACTACATTATGGTCAACTAGTCCAGCATATGGTGACTAACACTACTGCACTGAATTTACTTTCCCAGAGAAAGCACATTTTGTTTGACTAACTGGTGGCTGATACAGTGAGTCACTCGACTGCCTGAAGTACCAGCTACTATACTTTAAAAGGATTGACTGGGAACCATGTATGTGTATTGGATTAGGAACAACATGCTTTAAATAAACCATTGACTCACCTTGTCACGCAAGTGATGCTCTGCAGCCTCAATATTCAAAGGATCGTCAAAATTCAGAAGATCCTGGCAAAGGAACAGAGAACATTATAGGGTTCCCACTCACTGCATCATACAAGGAATCCAAAGCCCTGATGAACAAGATAATGAATCAAAGCAAGACCAGTGAGTAGAGCACTGTATTTTCTCACTACCTTGATAGGCAGCACTATTAAAGGTAAATGCAAATAAGTGATTGCAAACGGAATTACAAGTTAATGAAAGGACAACAGTAGCAAGGCATTTGATCCCACCTGGTGGCACATAGTCCTGTGACACTTCTCTGGCAGTGATGCACTTCTGCTTGAAAACTGAGACAGTTTTAAATCAAATTTTGAAGGAACATTCAAAGTTGCAGGATGCAGAATTCCTGCTGACTTTAGTTCAAGGTAAGGCAAACCATTAAAAAAACCCTGGGAACAGTGTGGTGATAAAGCAGGAAGAGCTTCATAGAATCATGGAATGGTTTGAGTTGGAAGGCACCTTAAAGCTCATCCAGTTCCAACCCCCTGCCGAAGTCAGAGACACCTTCCACTAGAGCAGGGTGCTCCAAGCCCTGTCCAACCTGGCCTTGCACACTGCCAGGGATGGGGCAGCCACAGCTTCTCTGGGCACCCTGTGCCAGTGTCTCATCACCCTCATAAGTGAACACCTTTTTTCTTAATGCCATTTCCATTGCAAAGCAATTTCATCCACACTGAGAAGCTCCATAACCCGGAGTCTGACTGACAGGAAAGATTTAGTGCCATGGGAAAAACAGGGCCCAGGGGAAAGGGACTGCAAACAGCCAAAGAGCTAAGAACATGTGGGGGCAGGGAGCAGAAATAGTCAAGATAAATCTCAGGTCTTTCCGTTTAATCTCTGTAAATACTTTGGAATGAGTATAGGGTTAATTACAATGGAGACCAAGATGCTGATCGCAACCATAGGATGGTTTGGGTTGGAAGGGACCTTAGAGATCATCTAGTATGTTACAAATAACACTGAATCACAACCCTCTATTCTGCCTGCAGCCCAGACAATTTTCCCCAGTTGAAGGTTAGTGACAGCAGTGAAATGCCATTGTTTCACACATGTGAAAAGTGCGTGCCACTCTTCAACATGTTTTCAAGTAGCAAATCTCCCATTTCACTCAAAGCAGGACACCAATCCACTTCATTTTCACTGGCTTTCTTCAGGAAAACCCCACAAGAATCTGAAAGGCCAGTATGATCCAGTGCCAGCTTTTCAAAGCCTACTATTTTAGCAGAAGCTGGGTGTGAGGGAAATCCAAGAGGCAAGCTCAGTAGACAAAGCTCTCACCAGCCATAACAAATCCCCATGGTCTGGGATGCGTGACTATCAAACCCTGTGGCTGTTTGCCCAATGGATTACTCTTACATGCAGTTTTGCCACTGCAGACACACCACTGTGCCTCCAGTGAATTTTATTTTCTTCCAGCTAATCAGCATGCAGTGAGAGACTAACTGTGAAGCACAATTACTCTTTGTTGAAAACGCAAAAGCTCTCCAAACCTCTAAATCAATTTCCCAAAGAAGTTGCTGAAACAAATCAAGCCTTTCAATTCCAAGAAAGCTGAGTGACTGTAGCTAGCCACTGGCTTGGGCTGTGCTAGAGGCCTTAGAAACACATCATGATCCTGACAGTGTGCTGGAAGCACAGCCACTGCTCTGCACCCCTCCTCCTGCAGGAAGCAGTGGAAGGAATTCCCTTCTCTGAAACCAGGCTGTGGTTAGTGAAGCCCATAGTGATGGTCCTCATCCAAAGCTTTTCACAGCTTCCTCTGTATGCCCTGGAGCAGCAGCCAAGTTAGTGCCCTTCTTTGCTTCTTCCTGACCTTCCTACCGAGCTGCAATGGCTGTGGAAGGGGACCATAATCCTGAACTCCCTAAAATGCAGCTTTTGTACAGTAAAGACTTAGCAAATTCTGCAAGTGGGTCCTGAGGCCTTTAACAAAGAATGTAAGTGTTCAGAATAAGAATGAGACTGCAGGGCAGTCATTAAATCCTAAATATATTTTTTAAGAAACCCCCATAACACCAACACAGTTCCTTCTCAGAGCAATATGATTTTCTATTCCCTGAAAAGCAGTGGAGGAATTTCAAACCATGGAAGATCCCATGATACCAAAATACCCCATAACAGATTTGTAACCAAAAGTAAAAATGATGTACCAAAAAACCTAGCATTTCAGCTGATCTGTAGGACTCCTGCAGTTACACAAACAAAAGCACAAACTGATTTCATACTTGCACAAGACCCACTGAAGCCAAAGGAAATAACAACCTTCAGTTTCAGTGGGAACAGACAGGGTTCATATTGGGTGATGCTGAAACCAAACCAGACAGGGAAAAAGAAAGTAGATATGAAAAATAGTCATTTACTTACAGTAAATAATGAGTTTAACCCCCAGACAACATCCTGCAAAGGAAAAGCAGAGTCGGTTAGGCATGCAAGTCAGGTGTTTTGATCACATACACATACTTTATTTTTCTATTAACCCATGAAATTACTGGAAATCAAATGTAGATTAAGGGTAATGCTTTACTAATTTAAGTCAAAATACTGGAAAAGCTTTCCCATTTCATGGATGCTCCATATTCAGAAGCGTCCATAAAACATACTCAAAAGTTCAGATGTTTCAGTGTGTATAGGAGCCTTATACTTACTGCTTCTCTACTCAAGGAGAAGAATGATACCTTAGTATATGACACCAACTGAATACAGCACTGCTTAGTTCAAAGGGTGGGTATAAAACCTAATTCAGCAATCCGTTCTTAAAATCCAGAAATTAAGACTGTGTTAGACAAGTATATGAAACTGTCAAAATATTAGAGAAAAGAGATTCAGGCATAGTCTGAGCATAGAGAAATGTTGTTCTTACATGAGCATATGTCTCAAATCATTTTACTGCCTTCAAGCATTTATTTAAACACAGCTGAATAAAGAGGGTTTGCAATTCCTGCAAAAAAGGAAGCTTCAGAGTAATCTGCCTCCAAATTGTGTCATCAAACACAGCTTATTTAGAGGGTCTACTACCACTGGCCTCATAGTCCACATCCCCCATTTACAACCTTCAAAGGCTAAGAAAACGCACAAGATCCAAATATTACAGAAAGAGACCTAAAAGGATCATTCTGAGGATAAGTTTTTCTACCTGGAGAAAATATTATTTTCTTTAGTAGCAACATAACCAAACTAATCTACTCCAACATCCCACTGAAGTCTGGGCTCTTGTCTGGAGCTCCCACCTACCAGACACGTAAGATCAGCACTGCACCTCCTGCCCTTACAGTCTGCTAGCACTCGATTGCCTGATCATGAAATTCACACTGACCCATTTCCACTAGTGGGACAAACACTGCATGCAACTGATTCATGGCTAAAATGTACCTTTTACAATGAAAATAAAGACTCAAAGTAAAAACTTTCCTCACCACAGCAAAGAAGTTCAATAAACAAGCATATTTCAGCTCATTTCCCATTCAGGGCTCTCTACTTAAGAGTGGTGGACCACAGAAATCTGTATGATTTAAGGCCACTATCCAATTACATCCTAATGAAAAATACATGATACAGAATCATAGAATGGTTTGGGTTGGAAGGGACCTTAAAGCCCTTCCAGTTCCAACCCCCTGCCATGGGCAGGGACAACTTCCACTAGACCAAGTAGCTCAAAGTCTCATCTGACCTGGCGTGGCTGGGCTATTTCAAGCAGGAGATGAAAGCAAAAGTTTAAATTCTGTGCTTGTTCAACTAAAACTATGGTCACAGAAACTGAGAAAGGTCAGCAAAACTTGGAATTAAGGAAACCTGTATTAAGCAATTCTGGGGATAAATTATTTGTACAGTATAGTTGTGCCAGGGGAAAAATAAGCCACAGTCAGTGATTAAAGGAGAATTTCAGTGGTGTGGAAAGCCTAAAGAGTAGGAACAGGCATGAAGGTCTGAGTTTTGACTTCACTCTCCAGTATTCAGGTTTGTGAGGAACACAGCACAGGCTGCTATGGTGTCACCGCTCCCAGGGTCTGCTCCAGTTCCCCATGGATGCTGCCCCTGGCATGGATGCAGCCTGAGGACTGACTGATGCAGGGTGTGTAACCAGGGATGGCTGAGACTGAATCTGTCTCCAGCCAGTCACTCTGCTCCAGAGGACGCTCTGCCCCTTCCACTGCTGCCTTCAAAGGCTGTATTGTCCTCCAGGGAAGCAGAGGGAATGTCTTGGGGGTGTTAAGAATTCCTTGTGTCTAATTTTAACCCACTAAGTATTTCCCACAACCTTTGATAATGGGGCACTAAAGCATGATAATCTGCTTTCTCCCACTTGAATAAATTCTTCAGGAATCAATTAACTTTTTAAGGATCACCTTTCATCTACACCACATGACAGCACACTCTAACTGGAGAATATGATGCAGAATTACAATACTAAGCATTAAAAAACATCCTGAAGAGATACAAGGAGCTCACACTTGCACGCTAAGGTCTGTCCATTTGTAAGTCCTGCCTGAATGCCAAAACAGAGCTGCAAACTGTTCACAACTCTTCAACCACTTATCAGCAGAGCTAAAAAGAAACAAACGGAGGAGCAACCCAGGCACAGTGATTCTGAAGAGCTCAGCTTTTCTTTACACTGAACAGTCCTGAAGCTCCAGCCTCCCAGAGTCACGATAGTTGGGGATTGTCAATCCAGACAAAACAGCTTCTGCTCCAATACAGGCAGTGTTGAGCCATACACAAGTGTTGCAACTAAAAATAAAAATGTAGGTTATTTTTCCATTGCTTAAACACCCGCTTTTGAAGTTTACCTAAATCCTTCCAAAACTGGTATTTGCTGAACCCTGGTTTTACGACTTTGGGACACTTGATTCACTGGGGCTGGCTTTGTGCACATCACCACCTCTCCAAAAAACGCCCCAAAACACCACCACAAAAAAACTCCAGTGGAAACCTCTGTAAGGCTGTGAGTTTTCAGTGCTGTACATTTCCAGTCATTTGAGACACTAAAAAGCATAAAAGAATTATCATTATTGAATAACATATGTGTGAGATTCTTAATATTGTTTCTGATGTTTCCACCTATTCAGGTTTTATGATTTGTTGGGATTCATTTTATACTCCTGCATGGTTCTATAAAAAATTATGCTAAGTTACTACACCAGAGGGCAATACTTTTTGCAATGAGTTTGAGGCTAGCCTGGATTTAAATCTAGGATATTAAGAAAGGGAAGTGGGATGGAACAGATGAACAACAGTGAAGCAAGTATTTCATATCTGAAAACTTGACACTGATGCACTGCAAAAACAATCACTTTGAGTTACTGACTTCAGCAGAGCTGCTTGTTGTATGCAGATAAACCTTGCGTCAATGCTTGCTTTGCATTTCCTTGGCAAACTAAAAGGATTTGCAGGCCACTGAAGACCCTTGTCAGATATAACTGTTCAAAAGCTTCTGTTTTCTTTTAATGGAATAAAGCATCATCCTTTGCAACATTTACTGAACTTCTGGCCTAAACACTCTGAAAACAGGAAGTTAACTCTAAGTAGAAGTTTAAAGGTTATCTACACACATATGAGCAGGGCATATGTTGCCTTCAAATGTTACTGATACACACCTTTATGCTGCTCCACTTCAATGAGAAGCTACTTCAAAGGAGAACCACACATAGTGATCTGTCTGTACCTAGGCCAAATACTTGATGAGGCTGCTTCCTTTACTATGCTTCGTTTTGCCTACTTTCTTCCACATGCTTAACGTCAAGCTTCTAGAGCACAAATACTTAGGAATAACCTCAGAGCAAAACTGAGAAACTCATGTGTGGCTTATAACAAAGCAGCACAGCATGGTCTGCTCAGGATGGACCCTGCAGAAAAGGCTGCGGAATTCCCCAAACTGCTACATCTGGTTTCTGCTCCACTTGTGCCCAGGCAGGTCCTGGTCTCCTGGCGGCTTTGCATCAGCACAGACATCACCCACATGATTGGATACCTTTGTGAGCGAACTGCAGGTCTTCGGTATGCAAGTGTGTTTGACTCACATCTATTATGTTAGTTCAGGAATTCAAGTATGATACCTGAGCTAATGAGACAATGTTCCCAAGCAGAACAGTACCTGGTTAAATCCATAGCGGGCAAGTGGAAGAAGGTATAAAGAAGAAAACGCACCCTGCTCAATGGCAGAGCCACCATTTGGAGCTCAAGCATGGGGATTTCAACACAAGTCAGATCATCAACAGGCTGTTATAAATAACCCTTTATAATCGCCTTGTTTCATTCTTGAGTAGTTTTGTGTTGCACTAGAGCAAAAAGCTGCATTAAAGCCCTGCCTGCAGATTTATTTATGGCTAAATGAGGAAAAAAAACCCACCCAAAACTGCCATTCAGGCAATATTTACAGTTCAGTCAAAATCACAATTACAGCTTCTGAAGTGGCCTCTCCTGAGGTTGGGGTATCTCAAAGCACTGTAGTTGTCAGAGTCCCTAATTCAGACAGTCACCAAATCTTTGCAAGTGGCAGTTCTCACAATCACTTCTCAAAAGCCATGCCATTGAAACCATGACACAGACAAGTGGTGAGCTGTGCTTGCCAATGTTTGTAAATTAAAATTTCCCTTTAGCAGGCAAAGTATATTTAATACACTAATTCAGGCACCAAACAAGTCAGACAAAAGCCACTAATTAAACTCCAATCAAAGAAACTTCTTTAAAGACCCAAGGAGAATTTCTGATCTAACAGACTGATTAAAGCTCACTGCTAAACCATTTTTATATATAATTTAATGCTTTCAGATCAATGGAAAGAACAGCAGTCACAGAAGCAGATGGTTGAAGCAAGTGGTGATTTTTTGTTGGTTTTAGTTTGGGGGTTTGTAGTTGATTTTTTTTGGGGGGGGGTGGGGTCGTAGTGTTTTTTGGGGTTGTTTGTTGTTTGGTTTTTGGTTGTGGTGTTTGTTGTTTTTTTTACACACTGAAGCAGTAGCTGCAGTGAAACAAGTGCCAAACTCTTCCAAACTGTGACGTACAAAGGGCTTGAAATTGCACACAAAAACTCAGCACGCTGAAAGTGCATGGCTGTCTCCTGAGGCAGCTCTCTGCTGCCCCAGCTCAAGATGGCTTTCCATTTCCATTCACCTTCTTCTGTTTTCTTCTACAAACAAGCCCAGCTTCCTTCTGTATTCACTGCAGCCCAGAAAAATTAAGCACCCTTCATCCCACCCAGCCCCACCTTCCCCTGGCTCTGCTGGGCTTCTCTTTCTGTCTCCTCAACAGCCCTCTACCACCATCTCAACCTTCCCTCTTTGACTATGTGTGCTTGAGGCCCACAAGGCAAACCCTGCCTTGGGCTGCATTCAAAGGAGCTTGGCCAGCAGGTCAGTGGAGGCGATTCTGCCCTTCTGTTCTGCTCTGGTGAGACCTCCACT